TAGTATAATTAAAAAGTATCAAATAAATGTAAATAATAATAATGATAATAATGATAATAATAGTATTAGTAATAATAATAATGATAATGATAATATAGATAATAATAAAAATAATGATAATATAGATTATAAACTACAGTTACAAGAGTACCAAATTGATGAATCATTAAGAGCAATTGCAGAAGTATTTTGTTATGTTTGTGATAATGAAGCTGACGCATTTTGGTGTTTAAATAACTTTTTAAATTTACCATTTAAACAATACGGACATAAAGTAAGTAAATTATTATTATAATTATAAAACAAATCTATAGATATGGACAGTTATATTAGATTTAGTTTCAGATCTATTTTATCACATAAAAAATAAAAATCATTAACCCTCCACAATAACTACAACAAAATAATAATATATTGATATCATTAAATAATAATACATCATCAGCATCAACCATTCGTTATAATAAAATAAATAATAACAATAATAACAACAACAAGAATACAGCATAAAAATACAATAACAATAACATCAACGATAATAATACATCATCAACATCAACACAACATTAAACACAATAACAAAAAGCATCATCGTCATCTAAACCTTTAATAGAAACAAAAAAAAAAAAAAAAAAAAAAAAAAAAAAGGTTTAAAACTAATAGATCATTTTTTATTTTTCTTTTCAGGAAATTGGCATTTATCATCAAATAAACAATCTAAGTAGATTATTAGAGATTCATGACAGAGGGTTATGTAATCATTTTAAGAATCATAAAGTTCTTGTAGAGATGTTTAGCGGTCAATGGTTTAAAAGTTATTTCACATGTTTATTCCCAACTAGTTCAATGGATAGAATATGGGATAGAATAATAGGAGTTTCTTTAGATTACATGGCCTATATATCTTTAGCAATTTTACAATCAAAAAAACCATTTATTTTAGAAAAGACCAATAAAAACGATATTTTAAATTATTTATTAAATGTAAGTAAAAGACTTGGCACATAAAATATTTATATTTTGTTTATAAATATATATTTCCTTTCTTTTAATTATACCAAATTAAAATATTAATTATTTTTTTTCTTTAAAACAATATCATTATCTAGATTAAAGATTTAAATGTTGATATTATATTAGAAAAATCAGTAGAATTATTCGGTGTTTCTGCAGAAGTAGATCCTGATGAATAAATAACATCCACACAGCTTAGGTTAAAATAAAAAATAAAAAATTAAATAAATAAACCATCAAATAAATATTTAATAAATAAAAGAAATAAATAAAATAAAAAAATAATAACAATCAAATTTCACACACTCATATAAATATCTATATAAGTAGTGCATGTGATATTAAAATAAAAAGTTTATCAGTGATGTGTATTTTGTTTTTATTTATTAAATATTTGTTTTGTTTATTTTCCCAACTATTTATTAAATATTATCTCATTTATAAACTTGATCATATATTTTAAAAATACGATTGTATATATATTATTTTAAATTCATTATTATTGTTGTTGTTGCCTATTATAATCTATTTTAAAACAATATACTATATTTAGAATTTTATCAAATATTATTATTATCTTTTTAAAGAGCATTACAATTGATTAATGATTAGATTTCGTTTAGTGTATTGGATTATAATTTAGACATGATAATAATAAAAATAATAATAGTATTTTTTAAATGCTCATGCTTAATTTAGTGTTTTAATATTAGTGGGTATTTATTTTTTGATGTGTTTTTTTTTTAAAAATGGTGGGTATTTATATCTTTGTATTTATGACTGTGTGAGGTGTGTGAAAATGTGATAAATTTTTTTTTTTTTTAATATATAATTATGAAATTATTAAGTATGTATTTGAAAAAAAGGAATTATAAAAGTTATAGTTTTGAATTAAATTGTAAATTTACTACAATTTCAAAAATCAATATATATTTAATTTTAAATTAATAGAAATAATAATAATAACTTTAAGATTATTATTTTGATTTAATATTAAAAGAGAGGGTATTTTAGTTTGGGGGTTATTATAAAATTTAAAAAAAAAAAAGAATAGGAAAAAAAAAAAACAATAGTTAAATACTAATAGTAAAATTAATATTTTAATGGGGTTGTTTATAAATAGGGGTAGGTATTAGCAATATACTACTTTAAAGTGTTTGCTGATATGTACATGTAAAATAATGTTTTTATTTATTATCTATAAGATTTAATTTTTTTTTTATATGTTTTTAATTAATATTGGAAAAAAAAAAAAATTCCTTTATATCTTTATCCAATTATAATCATAATCATATTTTTGAATTTATATATTTTTATTATTATTATTAATAAATATAATTTTAGTTTTATTTTTTTTTTTAATATTTAAATATAATTTTTTTTTTTTTATTTATTAAAAATGATTAATATATAAAAAAAATCAATATTTTTTAAAAAGAACAACAAAAAATAACAACATCAATAACAGCAACTACAACAAATATAGGAAATAAAGAGTATTTGATATTGGGATTGAATTAACAAATTAATTTATTAATTTAAATTAAAAAAAAAAAAAAAAGAAATGAAATTAATAATATTTTTAATTATTTTAATTTTAAGGATCAATTTTATTTTATCATTATGTCCTAATAATTTTATTCATTCACAAAATAGATGTATTGGATTTGAAAATGGAATTTCCAAATTAAAAATAATTTCTGTAAGCTAATTTAAATAATTTCCCCCCAATTTTATTTTTATCAATTATTAATTTTTTTTTTTTTTTTTTTTTAATTTTTTATGATTTTATTTCATCCATTTTTTTTGAAAATAGTGTCATGTTAAAACCAGCTCAAATAAAGATATAATTATAGGTGTATTAAAAAATCCATTTGATAATTTTACAAATATCTGGTTTCCAAAACAAAACGATCAATTTAATTATTTAAATAGTTTACCACACTATCCAGAGACTGATGAAGAAACATGTAGAAATAAAATAGGGAATTTAGAGTTTATATCGATTTTTAAAACACAAACAATAGACTTAACAAAAGAACTGTACAGATACAAATGTGAAGAAAAATATAAATACATTTACTTTTCTCCAACAATCAACCCACCTTGCCAGGATTATACATATTTTCAATTTAACAAACCATATAATTCAATTTTTTCAACAGTTTGCGACGAATATGATGAAGAGCCTTATATAATCCAAGAAAGAAGACTTTGCCAACATGAACCTCTATTTAATCAAACAATTGAAATTGGTTCGCCTATATCCTATGATACAAATTGTAATCAAATATGCAAGCATGGTTTTTGTAAAAATTCAGAATGCCAGTGTTATAGTGGATGGTCTGGTGAAGGTTGTAATATTAAGAGTAAGATCATATAGTATTAATCATTTATAAATAAAACAGTGATCAATATATATTAATTAATATTTTTTTTAATAGAATGCTCAAACAATACCGAATGCAATGATATTTTTAATAGTGAATGCTCGAGTAGTGAATCAACCTGTAAATGTAAAAAGGGATTTGTAGAAACCAATGGTATTTGTCAAGATGAAAACGAATGTTTATTAAACCCATCACCATGTAACCCAAATTACTCAAACTGCATCAATACTATACAGTCCTACAAATGTGAATGCAAAAAAGGATTTTTAAAACTAAATACAAGTAGCAACAGTGAAACTGAAATAAAGTGTCTAAATATTGCCTCATCCCCCAATTCATATGCATGCAAAGATGGTATATGTGAATGTAAAAGTGGTTTTAGCTTTAACAACTCCACCTATAAATGCGAAGATATTGATGAATGCAAGTTAAACTTATTCAAATGCGATGCTAAACAATTTTGTGACAACACAAATGGATCATACCAATGCAAGTGTAATCAAAATTATATATTAGTCAATAAAGAATGTGTGCCTTTCCCAAGAATATTCTCAATCAAGTCACTAAAGAAAGGTTATCTTAAAATAGATTTGGGAAACTCATCAATCAATTATAGTGATGGTATTTCAGCTTTTTTCTTTTCGAATGATGATGACTATAACGATCCAGAATACAACTCTATACCATGCAAAAACCTTAGTTATACATTTAACAGTCAAGAAAACTATATAGAATGTTCTCTAATACTAAATATAGACTACAATGGTTTATCATTTTATTTAAAACTAAATGATAATGTTACAACAGTTCTATTGTTCGAAAACATCAGCTTACCTTTTATAAAGTCAATAGATAATTCTCCAACTCTAGGTGGCCTCATCAAATTTGAACTAAATTATAAAAACTTTACAATAGATCAGCTCCAGGTCAAAGATGAAAACTATCAAAACAATTCAAATTTATTTGAAATCAAATCATTAAAAAAAAACATTGTATCAATGAATGTTTCTCCAGGTACTGGTGTTTTGCCCTTTAATCTTTTAGTAGACAATCAAGCAACTACAGACGAGTTATTTTATTCTTACCAAGTCCCTTTTATTGAAAATTTCACAACTTCAAATATTAAAACTGGAGGTAATATTACCATTTGTGGCAGTAATTTTGGTCATAATTTATCTGAAATCAATGTAACGTTAAAGAATCAAGATTCAAACTATAAGGTCGAATGTATAAACGTTCAATTATTAAAAGAAGATTCAGTCTTAAGATGCTTTATACCTCCATCAAATTTCTCACAACAGTTATTATGGGTCAAGGTAAATGGTCTAGTTTCAAATAATTTAATATACTTTTATTACAACAAAGATGACTCACTATATAATTGCGATTCAAAAAAGACTTGCTCAAACCATGGTCAATGTAATTTGGGGCAATGTAAATGTGATGATGGATGGATAGGTCCAAACTGCAACGAAAAAGATGAAAATAATCAATTAATATCAAATGCAAAAATAGGACAAACCCTTATTCAAGAGTTTAATAAAGACAAACCCACACAGGAAATTAAAACTAAAAACGGAACCCACTTTTTATTTGGTATGAAATCTTTAATTGAATATAGCAGCGATGGAATAATTGTTGAAGAAGTTAAACTAGACTTACAAGCGGATTGGAATACAGGCGAAACTATTAGAGACAATAAAATAGGTATAATTAAAACGTACAACTCAACATTATTCAACTATGCAATCATTAGGTTAACATTTATTGAACCTTTTAATTTAAACAAAGATTCAAATATTGCAGAATTAGAAAGTGACACTGTTCAACTATTAATAAATATAGAATCATGGCCATTTCAATCTAGAACAAATTATTTAGATATTATAATGGAAAGTCAAAATTTAATTACTGATAAAGAAAGACCACATTGTCGTACCACCTCATTTACAAAATACAGTCAATCACCCTGGAAATTTGATAAGTCTCAGGCCGATCCATCTAATAATACAGAAATCATTTGGTACCTAACTACAAATGACTATGTTTCCCTATTTGTATCATTTGTAAATAAAATTAAAATCGATTCAAATGTCAGAACCATTAAAATATTAAAGAAACCAATACCCCATAATCCAGGTAACAATACAATCAATGTAATATTAAGAATTCCTTATTTCAATCAATCAATATCAATCGATCCAACAGACTACAAAATTATTTCAAATGAAAAACCTTATATAAATGAAAACCTATCTTGCAAAGTTGAGAAAATCAATGATAAGGGTTCTAAAAAACTAATTATTTCGGCCATAGGTTTCCTTGTGGGTATTTTAGTTTTATTTTCTGGAGTTTCAATTACCTGGTATATAATTCGTAAAAGAAATTTAAAAAAATTAAACGCAACTATAACTAATAAGGAAAAGACTCCTCAAACCACTCAACAACAATAATATTTAATCTTAAATAATAGTTTTATTTAATTTTAATAAATAATTTTTTTTTAAAAAACCATGTGTATAATTATTTTTAATCTTTTATATGTTCATTTTGTTTTACCTAAAAAGTTTTAATGATTTTGGCCAAATTTTTTTTGTTTTATAAAAATACATAAAAAATATAAAATATATTTAAATAATATTTATAGTTTATTGTTTTAATTTTACTTCAAAAAATAATGATTTAATTTGATCATTACTTTAAACTACACTGATAACTTATGATTTTTATTTAATGTGAACTTCTCTAGTTATTTTACTTGACCATGGGCAGTAGAAACAACCTGGTAAGAAAGCTATAATAAAATATAAATGGTAAAGATTTATTATTAATATAAAAGAAAAAAAATAATTATTTATATAAATTTCATTTTGCTTACCACCGCATGCTTCATCAAGATGTTCTTCAACATATCCAAGGTTTGCATCACAAACCTCAATGGCAAGTTGGAAAAAGGAGATTTGATCTGGATCTAAATGGAAACTGTAATCTAATAAAAAGTAATAAAAAAGTTAATATACCCATTCAACTTTTTAAAAAAAAAATACATACGTGGGTTATATGGTTTTTGAGTCTTTTTAAATCTTCCCATTACATGTGTAGTTTCAGTTTCATCTATTTTAAATAGAAATATGGTTTTTGTTAATATTGAAATTTAATAAATTAATTATTCTTATAATTACCTCCTGATAAAATTTTTCTTGCAGTTTTAATTTTCTCTGGATCTGTTAATTTGAAGACAAAGTCATGATCACTTCCATGTGTCTTAAAAGCAAAGTAAGCCTCTTCAGATGAAACAATAGAGAATGTAAGTAAAATTACAAGGAGAGTAAGTAATAATTTCATTTTTATTTGTATTTATAATTTAATATTAATATTTTTATATATTTCTTTAATGATTAAATAATGAATATAATAAAAAAAAAATATTTGTTTAAATAATAAAATATTATTCATAAACTTTTTAAAAAAAAGGAATTAAATAAAAAAAAAATAAATAAACCTTTGGACTGTTTTAAATTAACTTTTTATCATAATACAGTTTACCCCATTTTGAAAATATAAAAAGTAAAACTGTTTTTATTCGAATAAAAAAAAATTATATTAAATAAAAATACCCCACTAATAATTTATTCAGAAAAAATAAAAAAAACCAATTTTTTTTATATCTTAATGCGAGATATAAATCATATCTTTGTAATGAGATATAAAAAAAAATGAAATTATTTAAAATAAAAAATGAAAAATATTTATTACCTTTTTTTTCACTTTTTTATTTATATATAATTTGGTTGTGATTAGTTATATTAAAGTGTGGTTATATATTTTGGTTGGGTAGAGAGACACCTGTTTAAGTAAATAAATATGGGCAGAACATACGAATATTTATTGGATCTGCTATGTTAAAATATTTATACAGTGTTGCAAAACAAATATAAAATATTTAGATATAAATTTATAAAATATAGTGATTAGTTTATATTACAAAATTGAGAAATGATAAATATATACCAAACTATAACTTGAATATAAATTAAATAGTTACATGTAATCCCAAGAATTTTTAATTTCCATGAATCTTTTAAGTGTTCAGAACGGATACTTTCTCTTGCAAAATAAAAATAATTGCAAATAAGCATTTCATTGAACCAGTAATAATATGGTAGTCTTTACTGGATGTGTAGAACACGAGTTTAAGTGGGTTTCTAATAAGTTTTATAATATTTGGACTTTGTTGTGTTTTTTTGTCTGGGTATGGCTTATTCATTGTGATACCGTATTCAACCAACTTTTTTCTAATATTTAGAATATCCTCAACAGATTTGTTAGTAAGTTCTAGAGTTAGTGCACTAGTTCATTACAGATTATTGTTTCTCTTTTGAGCTGACAAATTTTTAATATTAATAATCTTCGAGAGAATATCCAATTGGTTGATGTTAATTGTTTTTTCAAAACTGTAAGAGTTTATTGAGGTTGCCAAATAATTGATGAATTTGGTGGTATCATCGTTGAGGTGTGGGTTCTAGGGTTTTGATGATGGATTTAATAGAATATGATCTCCTAAAAGATAAAACCATTTTTAAATGTAATGTAGGTACAAATCTATTAGTTATTTAAAGTAAATAATATTTATTAAAGTAATAAAACGATAATTATTTAAGTTATGAATAATGTGTATTTTCGAACTAAAACCGAAAAACTATTTTATTTTTATTTTTTTAAAATTTTTAAATTTTTAATTTTTGAAAAATTATTTTAAATATTTTTATAATTTTAATTATTTGATTTAAATTATAAAAAGTATTTAAACTTCGTTGATTAATGTGTTTGATATATAAAATGATTCTTATCTTGAATTATTAACTAAAATGATATATAATAAGCAGTGATTACATTACATATCCCCTTTCTTGACAAGATTCCCAAAATTAAATGAAATTTTTTTTTTTTTTTTTTTTTTTTTATGTTTGTGGAAGAGTTGATTATCGTGTTAAACTTGTTTATTAAGTCTCTTCTGGTGTGCTAAAAAATTATTCTCAACTGGAACTGTTTTTGCAAGCTCATCTTCAAATTGACGTACTAACATAGGACAATCTTCTAAGTAGTGCTGTGGAACCCATACATCGTTATCTTCACCAGCATTCTTGTAACGGATTAAATATTCGATTCTTGACCCTTTACCATATACTCTATTTCTCTTATTAACGATTGTGTCTATTTCTTCTACCACAGGGATTTGAGTTTTACGTCCTCTATCTACGAATAAGTTTCTATCTTCTTCAATGAATGGTTTAATATCATTGACATGAACTACTCTGACGCCATTAGCTCTATCCAACAATCTGATTTTGTAATTTAGTTGAGTTTTTCCTTCAATTACTCTAAATGGACCACAATATCTTGAAAGTAACTTATCTTTGTCTATTTCCAATTTAAATGTATCCAATTTACTTCTTTTCACCCATACCCAATCACCTACTTCATATTCAATATCCTCTTTGTCTTTATTGTATTGAATAGCCTGTTCAATCTGTGCATCAACCATATTATCTTGAGCAACCTGTCTAAATACCTGTAATCCTTCTGTATAACTGACATTATATACTGTATTAATATTTAATGGTACTCTTGCTTCGTAACCATAAACTACGCTCATTGGTGTTTTCTGTGTTGATGTGTTGACTGTACTATTAATTGCAAACTCGGTACTCTTAATTTCCCTATCCCAATTAACCATCTTTTGACCACTTTTTCTTAATATATCTAATAAGGTTCTGTTAACTCTTTCAGTTTGGCCGTCTGCTTGAGCTCTACCTGGTGCTGTGGTTTTTAATACCATTCCGGTTTCTTTAATTAATTCGCCCCATAATTCGGTTGTGAATAGTTTATCATTGTCGCAAACAATAGTGAGTGGTAATCCATATGAACAAACGATATTATCCCAAAACAACTTGCTTACTTGACTAGCGGTAATTGTCTTCTTACAAGGTATTAACTTGACCATTTTACTAAGTCTATCCACGACTACAAACAAATAATCATTACCATCTTGAGTTGTAGGTAATGAGAGAAAATCCATCGTAACATCATTCCAAGGTCTAGCAGGTATTGGTAACGGATTTAGTAAACCATGCTTCTCCCTTTCGATTCTAACCTTTTGACATTCTGGACAAGCGGCTACATAAGCTTTAACACGTTTCCAAAACTTGGGAAAATAAAAACTTGGTCTGATTCGTGCTGTGAGTCTGTATACTCCTGGATGACCTGCATAATTAGAAAGATGACCTTCGTCTAAAATTTTAGTAATTTGAGCTTTGTCCACTAAAACTAGTCTTCTTGAATCTGTTGTAGCATCAATTAAGTATAATAAACCATCTTTTTCCAACATATCATTTCTTAATTTTGCTGTCTCCAACCATTTCTTACTGTATTCATCCGCAACTTCATACGATTCCTTAACTTGATCTAAAAACCCATCGTCCCAATCATAATAAAATTTGGCGTTACGACTGAGAAAATCTGCTGCAATATTCTTCTTACCCTCGATGTGTACTAACTCGTAACTGAACATACTGATTAAGTCTAACCATCTAATTAACCTTTTAGGTGTCTCTTGTTTAGTTTGATAATGAGCTAAATTAAGATGATCCGAGTAAACTATAAATTTATTACCTAACAATAAATAATCAAATTTCTTCAACACATTGATTAACGCTAATAATTCTCTATCGGTAGTTGTATATGATTTCTGAAAACTATTAAATTTCTTCGAGTCGTACAATACTGGACGTTCATTATTATCACTGTCGAACTGAGTGATCATGCAACCGGTACCAACATCGCTTGCATCAATATAGACATGGAAAGTCTTCTTTGGATCTGGTTTGATCAACAATTTGGACGACGCTAAAGCCAACTTTAATTTCTCGATATCGTCTATAATCTTATCCGAAAGCTTTAACTTGGTATAATTCTTACCTGACGTAATGGATGTAAGACCTGCAGTAAGTTCTGTATAACTAGGAATAAACCGTCTATAATAATTACACAAACCTAAGAAGCTTCTAACTTCACCAATTGTAGCAGGAATAGGATACTCCTGAATGGCTGCTATCTTCGAATCTCTTACTTTAATACCTTCCGCACTAATAACATGACCTAAAAACTCTACTTCAATACAAAAGAATTGACACTTCTTACTGTTTAAATAGACCTTGCTATTTCTGCATCTTTCCAAAACCAATTTAATATGTTCCATATGTTCCTCTATCGTATCCGAATAAATAACAATGTCATCCACGTAAATAGCTAAAAACTTTTCAAACCCTTCCAAAACTGATTGAGCGAACTTATTAAAATACGCTGGAGAGTTCTTCAAACCAAATGGAGCTCTAGTGAATTGATACAATTTACCACCGGCTCTAAATGCTGTATGATGACGATCGTCTGGATGTAATAACAATTGATGGAACCCAGATTTCCAATCTAATTTAGAAATGTATTTAGCATTTCTCGTTTTATATAAAAGTTCATCCGCATTAGGCATTGGGTATTGAAATTCTACAGTTTGGTTGTTCTTTAACCTGTAGTCGAAAACTAATCTATCCCCCTTTGCTAAAAACGCTGATGTGCTATTGGCTGACGTACTCTCTTCGATAATCCCTCCATCCAATAACTCTTTTACTTTCTTGAAGATGTTATCTTCTTCTTGTTGTGACCTTTTACCGTAGTTAACTTTGACTGGCTGACTGTTCTCCTTGACCTTAATACGCATATCTAACCCTGGTCTGACTGGAGGTGTGAAATTTGGTAATGATTCCACCAAAACATCCTTGAACTTATTATTTATCCAATCCGTATATTCTTTAACTTTCGCATCCAGCTGTTCTTTGTTTAATTCATCCACTACTTTTGGGACCTCCTTGCTAGCTGCTACTTCACTAACTACTTTATCAGTTTTTTCAACATGATCACTTACTTTGTCGTTAACAACCGCACCTTTCATTACGGTTATCCTTAACGTCTTCATCGACATTAACATTCTACCATTCACCTGTAGATCTTTAAAACTACCACTGGCTACCACCTTCGAATGATTATCAACGACCTTCTTATCCTTTTCGAATAAGGTTAATTTAACTTTATGAGCTAATTTATTATTATCTGCATCCTTAAATATCTTGATAATGTGAGGATCTTCAATACGTAACGACTGTACCGAATCTACCAAAAAATCCAACCCGATTACCATATCATGTTCCATGTTAATTGCATAAAACTTCATATCGGTTGACATTTTTCCATCCAATGTTTTAAACTGAACAGTAGCCTCCACACTCTTCTTAGCAACGTCTTCTCTATAAACATCACCAATTGGATACCTGACCTTAATATCTTTTACAAAACTTTTTAACCCATAACAATACTTGTTGTTTAACAAACTGACGTTACAACCAGTATCTATCAATGCACGTAAATAATATTTACCTATACGCACACCCATTGCAAAACTTGTAGGCTTCTGCATACCTATCGGTACCAATATATTATTTGGCGAGATCTGGACAACTGTTTCTGACATGTCCCTCTTTCTTGCAGTAAAAGCATGTGAGCCTCCCCTTAACAAATGGTTTTCTAACCTTTTCTTCATCAGTTGGTTTATCTGATTTCTCTACAGTATTGTGTACTTTAACACTGTTAAATTCTTTGACCCTTGGTGTAACCTTCTGTTCTCTCTCCTTCTTATCTAAATAATTTTTGTAAGTTACCTCACCAATGTCCCTTAACACTTTGACCCATTCCTCAATCGATTTCGTATTACCCTTTGTAATTGTTTTATTATATTTATCAACAAATTGTGTTGTGATAAAATTAGGTAGGTCGACCTTGAGTTCAGCGATCCTTTGATGGTCGGTGTAGTTTTCCCAAACCATTCTATTCTCCAAGAACAAGCTGCAATAAGACCCTAGATTCTCTCCATAAATACTAATCTTTCCCTTGGCCTCCTTCAAACTCATTCTTAACTTATTTTCACGCTCTGCCTTGTTGTCGTGATCCTTCATATATCTGACGTAACCGTTCCATTCCATTTGACCTCCATTGTTAACAATATATTCTCTAGTGATATCTCTAAACTTGATACAACTTTCTTTATTATAAAATACTACTTGGGTTAGTTGTTCGAGTTTCTCTTCGATTTTGCTGTAGCCATAATTATTTAAATGGAACCAAGCACGTTCACCATATTTCTCGACTGTGCTGTTGCAAATGATATTACAAATATCATCAATGTCGTCGTTCTTCAGCTTCATACGGCTAATAGTCTTGTTGACTTGGTTTTCTACTACCACAACGTTTTCACTAACTTTTTGGTCCTCTCTAGACTTGCTTAGTTGGGTTACCCTGCTTTCTAGGCTTTTTATATCTCTTTCATTATCGATTATCACGTATTTTAACTCTGCATTTTCGTCACTTAATTCTGCGAGCTTCTTCTCACGTCTTTCTGAGTTCTTTTTGAGAACTGCAATTTCGCTTTCTAAATCAATACGGATAAATGTGTCTCTCTGACTCTTTTCCTTCTCTTCCTTACGCATTGCTTCAGATGTGGCTAAAAGAGATATTTTATCTTCGATTATACGTTTTAATTCAGCCAAATCCATTAAAAGTTTTTTGTTCTCCTCTTTTAAAGAGATATTTTCGCTAAGTACTCCATCAACGGTTCTGTTTGTTTTCATCATTTTTTATTATTATTGATTATTATTAAGTATTACTTATTACTTATTACTATTAATTGTTATTAATTATTACTATTATTATTATGTTAAAAAAAAATATTATTATAAACTATTATTGTTCTACTAAATTATCTATTCGTGATTCAACAATTTCTTTTTGTTTCGACCCGGGCCTCGATACAACTAGATAATATGTGTGGAAAAAAAAAAGTGTAATGTAGGTACAAATCTATTAGTTATTTAAAGTAAATAATATTTATTAAAGTAATAAAACGATAATTATTTAAGTTATGAATAATGTGTATTTTCGAACTAAAACCGAAAAACTATTTTATTTTTATTTTTTTAAAATTTTTAAATTTTTAATTTTTGAAAAATTATTTTAAATATTTTTATAATTTTAATTATTTGATTTAAATTATAAAAAGTATTTAAACTTCGTTGATTAATGTGTTTGATATATAAAATGATTCTTATCTTGAATTATTAACTAAAATGATATATAATAAGCAGTGATTACATTACATAAAAAGTTGGAGAAGAGGGGTATCGATCCCCTTACCTTAAGGAGGTCTGATGTTGCTGTATTATTGCAAACCTTACGCTCTACCATATGAGCTACATCCCCAAAGATGAAAATTCTTGTTTTAAATTATTACGGGGCCCCAAATAAATGAAACCATTACACAATTTATCTATAAAGTTAATAAAGATAAGAGATTTAACCAACTTTACATAAATGGAACGAAAACCTTGACAGTCCTCAATGTGTACTTTCAATTAAATAAGAAATTCCTTTTGACCAAACTAGAAAGTTCAACCAATAAAGGGAAGAGTGGATCTATTCTGGTGATACTTGATTAAATTATTACAGTTGTTTTGACCCCCTAATAAAAAACATTAGAAAAAAATTTTAATTTTAATCTTATCTTAGGTTTTTGACTATAAATCCATTTTAAAAATATTTATAGATAAACTTATACGGTTTTTTTATATTTTTTTTGTTAAATAAAAATTTAAAATTTATTTTTTTAAAAAAATTTTTTTAATTTTTTTTTTATAGCGCCCATATGAAATGGGGTCTAAATTTTTGAGAAGATAATTCAATTTTATTATAATTTTTTATTTTTATTTTAATTTTTTTTTAAAAACAAATAGGACAGTATATTCATAAAAAATAGAAAAAAAAAACAATAATGACCCTTTTTTTAGAGTTAATAAATGTGATTTTAAAAATTTACAAAAAAGCAAAAAATCATCAAAAAGTTAAAGATATATTGAGTGAAGTAGGTCCACAGTAAGAGAATTTTTTAAAAAAAATCTAGAAAAAGGTACAATTGAAGAAAATACAATACCTGGCATAATAAGAAAGATGGACGACCGAATTGAAAGACATTGTAGAAAATAAATTTGAAATGGGAAATGTCATAATTTAAGTAATATAAAAAGATATCTTAGAAAAAACTTTCAAAAAAATGTTTCAATAAGTTCAAATAGTAGGTCTCTACAACATAATAATGTTTTTTTTAAAAGTTTAAAATGTAAACACTTTCCAACCGAAAAATATATGTCTCAAAGCTAAGTTGGGTAAAAAAGTGCCAAAATTGGGCAGCTGAAAATTGGGAAAAGGGTAATATTTGTTGATGAAACCAGAATTGAAGGATTTTCTTATTAATTGAAAACTAAAAAATGGATTCATGATACAAGAAACCTAAAACAAAACATATTGGCCAAACGAAGATGAGGTGGCAGCTCAATATATACATGATGTTGTTGCACAGCTCATAGTGCAGGTCGTATATGTATTATCAGGTTTAACACAAATGCTGCAAAATATTAATACAGGGTTATAGAAGAACTTTACGAGAGAAATGAATTTTATCTGGTCATATGTTTCTTTTACAAGACAATTGCTCTATTCATATGACCTAATTATTGGCCGATTTTTAAGAAAAAATGTACATTAGGGTGATATTTATTCTACCCTGTTCACCAGATCTTAATATTATTGAGAATATATGGTCAATAGTAAAACGAAGTATAAAATTGATTTCTATCGGGTACCCACGTCATAATTTCAATCTTTTAATTTGTTGAATTTTAAAAAATATTCATCAGGATATATTTGATAATCTTTATGAATCAACCTCAATAAAAATACAACAAATAAATAAGAACTAAGGTGAATTCACAAAATATCAAGAAACAAAACATTAAAAAAAAAATTTCGTTTAAAAAATAAATTATATATTAAAATTTAAATTATCTTTTTAAAAATAATGAACCCATTTTTTTTATATGTAAAAAAAAAAAAAAAAAAAAATTTTCAAAAAAAAAAATTTTATTTTATTTTTTTTTTATAAAAAAATATAGTTCAGATGTTCTAAAATTTATTTTATATTTTTTAGAATAATTGGAATTAAAATTATTGAAGATAAATAAAAATAAAAAAATTTTAAAAAAGGGGGTCAAAACTTTTGCGAAGAACTGTACACAGGCAAAGAATTATCAGAATAGATATCCTTCAAGTACCATTGATCAACAAAATGGAAACAAAAAATAAAAAACCAAATTCTAAAAGTAGCTACTTTTGGAATCGTACTACTGTTGTAACAATTTTAGATTAATGGCATTTTCTACAACTTGGGTACTTTATTATAAACTATTTAAAATCTATTTTTAAAAGATTAAAATAAATTTCGAGATAATATTTCTTATAAATGTGGATAAAATATTTATTTTTTGTATTTCTTTTTATTTATTTTATTTATTTATTTTAAATATACGATATGAGGTAAAGGATCGTGATTTAAAATGAATTTAATTAAAATAAAGATATTTGCTGAAAAGAATAAAATACCTGCAAACCAAATATTCCAAAATGTTTGTTGACCCAAAAACTCTAAATTGAAAGCAGACAATAACCAGAGACCTTGGGAACCCATCCATACAGCAAATAAAAGGATATATTGCTTTAAAGATAATTTGCTAATTGGAATAACCAATGGTAAAATGGAGTAATACCAAATGAAATATTGAACAGTACAAACTTTATTGAAGGCTACAAAAGTGATGGTTTCTAAAAGTAAACAAAACTCTAAATCATTGAAATAGGTCAAAGAAATTGCTAACAATAAAACTACTTGTGGGAGGAACGATGCTAATGCTACACCCAATCCACTAGTAACGGGCTTTGCAACTAAATCACCTATTGACTCCACAATTGGTGTATTTAAATAAATTTGGTAAAAATATACTGAAAAATTGTGTCTATTATCAGCTCTTACGACATGATATAAATAAGTTTCAAATAAAAATACATAACCATAACTAATATTGCCAATTAAAAAAATAAAGAAACTGTTAATATGATTATTATTATTTATATTATGATAATAAAAATACTAAAAACTTACATTAAATACATTAAGAATGTTAATGATAAAAATGTAAAAGCTGAAACTAAAAAGAATTTAAGTCTATTCTTTGTAAAAAGATTCTTTATAATGTTGGTATAATTGACGTTTAAAGAACTGTATTCTGATGGTTTAATTTTTTGAAAATTTTCATCAATATATAAATAAATTGGAATTGAATAAATAATTGGATAAATTTTAAAGTGTACTGAAAGACCATAACTGTATAAAACAAAAAAAGAAAGTATTAATAATTGAGCTAACTTTAAAAATATATTACTTTTTGTGCGAGCCTTACAATAAAGAAGCTAAAACAATCTTTTTTTTAGTTAAGAAATAAAAGGTTGCCAATACCATTGCGCCAATAACCGACTCTGCATTACCTCTTGTTGAAACATTAATTGCAAATGGGTTCAATAACCATGCTGCTAAACAAATCAATAACTTTTTCGATGTAATCTTTGGGAATCTTTCTACAAGAATACCTTTTAAAAGGTATGCAATAATCATATCACAAAATACAAATAATAATTTACCAAATGCTGGATGAATTAAAATATTTGGAATTAATAAATATGCTCTATATAAAGAAAATAAATAAATATGTCAGTAAATTTTATTTTGTTGTTTTTTTTCAAAATATATATATATATATACATATATACATCATTAAATATAATATTTACAATAATGGTGTGTATCTATAAGTTGAACGATCATATGGTGATAATCCATTAACTACAAATCTTGATGCATCTGTATAAACAACATAATCGATATCTGTGTATTTAACCAACACTATAGATAATAATATGAATAAAACAAAGGTTAATATTATTTTTTATCTGCGATACTAAAAGTATATTATAATTTGTAGTTCTTACTATTTGCATCTTGCCATTCTGAGAATAAAATTAATATTAATCTTATGGCTAAACCAATGCCAAACAATGATTTAGTAAGGTTAACACCCTTATAAATAAAGTCATATATTCCAGTTTTATTTTCTTTTTTATTTATAACATGATTTACCATTTTTATATAATTAAAACTAAATATATTAAAATATTTATTTTGGTAATGGATATGTTCAAAAAAAAAAATGAAAATAAATAAATGAAAAAAAATAATTTAAAAAAATTAAAAAAAAAAAAAAAAAAATTTAAAAAAAAAAAAAAAAAATGAAAATTTTAAAATAAAAACTGCGATAAAAATAACAATGAAGATAATGATTTAAATGGCTATAGTAACCATTTAAAAAGAAAGCTGTATGAAAATGAAAATTTATTTGAAGAAATGTCAAATAATGGGGATAGTAAAAGTATAAAGTTTAGCTCCAATTTTGAAGAAGAAAACCACGATCAAGAAAACTATTCAGAATCCATCGACGAAAAAAATCTCAACTATTTTTGGGTCTTAGCACACAGTACACAACCCCGTAACCCACAATTAGGTGGATACTATATGTATAAATTTAGAGAAATGGCAAATATTAAACAACTAAGAGGAGTACCAACAATGATAGAATCGAGAACCTGTAGTAATTGTGGAACATTTTTAATACCAGGTATAAATTGTAGAGTTAGAATTATTAAAACTGATCAACTATCAAATAAAAGTAGAAGTTTAATTTCAACCAATACAAAAGAAATTAACTCGTTAGAATTTAGATTAAAACCATCACCACAACAACAACAACAACAACAACAACAACAACAACAACAACAATCCCTATCAAAAAATTCAAACAAATTAAACAATTCAATAACTAGAGTATGTTTAAAATGTAATAAACTAAATCCATTAAAAGGTGAAACCATATCAAAAAGGAAACAACCCATCACCCAACCAAGCACATTTAATAATCCATTTTCAATTAGCCATCCAAATTCTAATCAATTAAATGCCATTAAGCATGCTTGTGGTGATTCAAATATAACAATTGCAAATAAGTTAGCTGGTAAAAACTGTATTGTTTGTGGCAAAAAAAAATCTGGTTCAATTAGAATACCATCAATTGGTTATGGTGGTAAAGTTTTAATAATATGTTGTAAAAAAGATATTACAATTTCACTTAGACATTTGGAACAATATATGGGTTTTATAGACTTACAAAAAATAGATAAAACCAAAGATATATTAAATGGAGGTTCTGATGAAGAAGATAACTCCCAAGATGAAAATGAAGATGATGAAAGTGATTATCCTTGTCAAGGGTATACGCTACTTCAGCCTAATCGTGAACCATGCCCAGAATTTTGCAAAATAAAACATTTAAAACTAAATGAAAATGATGGTGTTAAAGCATTCTGTAAACCAACTCATTTGGTAAGATATCTTATGGTATGGTATGCATCAGGAAGAAAATCTTATAAAAAACAAAAGCCAAGAAAAAAACAAAAAAAGATTCAAGATGAAGTCGATGATGGAGATGATGAAGACGAAGAAGATGAAGAGAATGAAGAAGATGAAGAAGATGAAGAAGTTGAGGAGGTTGAAGAGTTTGAAGAAGATGAAGAAGGTGATGGAGATAAAGTGGTGAAAAAGACTACATCAACACCAAAAAAAGGTAGAACAATAATATCCACTTCTCCAAAAAAAGATATACCAACACCATCACAACCCTCACCAAAAAAAAGTCCAGGAAGACCAAAGAAAGCTGAACACTAGTATGTATACTAGTATGTATTAAGTTTATAAATTGATACTTTTATCAAGTTAATAACTAACATATTTTAGTTTAATATATAGTTTATGAAATAAGTGATGATGATTTTAAAGTTTTATGTTCAATTCCTAGAGAATCTTTTTTTTATTTATGTATGACAATCAAAGAGAAACACAATTTAGAATATAGCTATTCATTAAAAGGCTTATTAGTTGTTCTTCTAGAATTAAGACAATATCCAAACCTTAATTTCCTTTGTTCAATATTTCAATGTCCAAAAACAACGATACATGATATGTTGAAAAGGTTTAAAATTGTATTATATGATTTAGTAAAGTGTTTTGTTTCGATTGGTACAAAAGAACTTAGATTCCTGGAGTCAAGTTATTTAAAATTTACTGATCAAATGTATACATTAATTTTAGATGGGACAGAACAACCATGCCAATCCTCTAATGATGTTTCGGTTGAAACACTTTTCTATTCTGCAAAAAAAAAACAACATTCTTTCACAATTACTGTTGGCATATCCCCAAAATATAAAAGAGTATTATGGTTATCACAATCTTATGGTGGCAGTGTTGTGGATGTTAATGTATGTAGATATGAAGATGGATGGTGTTTTCCAGATGAATTAGTTTTAGGTGATCAAGGTTATACAGGACTAAGTGATAAAATTTTTTGTATTCCTAAAACTGGCAAAGATGGCTCATCTTTTTCTTCAGAAAGAACAAAAGTCGAAAATGCAATTGCTGATCTCAAAAACTACAACTGTTTAAGAGAAACATCCAGAATACCAATCACTCACCCCGATGCTCTTTCACTACATAACATGAACTGGGTTATTTGTGCTGCCCTTAGAAATAGATTTTTGTTACCCAACCATAATTTGTGGTACCAAGATTGTTTTTAAAAAATTTTAATTTTTCAAAATAAAAAAAATATTATTTTAATTTTTTAAAATATTAAAAATATATAATTAAAAAAAGATTTTATATTCAAATTGTAGATCTACAATTGATTTAATTTTGTATAATTTTTTTGTAAAAAATAAATAAAATTAACACACCAAAACACCCCATATATTATTCAAATCAATTTTTTTTTTAAAAAAAAAATTAAATTTTTAAAAATTTTTTTTCTACCCAACAGATTTCCGAAAAAATATTTTTTTTTTTTGAACGAAATATAGTTTTTAATCTGGGAATAAAAAAAAAAAACATTATTTTTTTATTTCGACAATTTTTTTTCTAAAATTTAAATAAAATAATAATTTTCATTATTAATTTTTTAAAACATCACACCACATCACATCAATGGATAATAAAAGTAATAATAATAACAATTACAATAATAACAACTATGATCAAAAAACCTCAGAATTATTTTATCTAGTTTTTCATAATAAATATTTATTTAATAAAATATTTCATTTCATTCATTCAGTTGAACTAATTAAATACAATAGTATAAACGATATTCCAGAAAATAGAATCATTTTTAAAAATATTAAATCGGTAAATTTCCTATTAAACAAAAAATTATATCATTTATTAAAATGCAAGTTAGAATCTGATGAATATATCCATGTCAATCATAGGTATAAAATTACAGAAATGATGAGTTATGACATAGATTTAGCAAAAGAAATATTCAAATTACTATTACAATCAACTTCACTTAGATATGAAAGCAAAGAATCATGGACATCACGGAGCCATATACACCAATTAAATTATTTTAGTGAAGATTTTATTCAAACTGCAGTTAATGAACCATTCTCTTTCCCAATATTTACATCAACACTAAGTTATTTCTTCTCTTTTTCGACAAATTCAAAAATTAAAATACTATTGGATTCATTTTATAATATAAATAATAAAAACAACAATAATAAAAATAAAAATAAAAATAAAAACAAAAAAACACTCAAAAAAATTAATAATAAGATTTTGAAGTCAGCATATAACAAAAATATTAATAAAAATAATAATAATAAACAAAATTTAATACAATCAATTTTCACATCTCCAAATGAATATAAAAATAAAATAATTAAAGATATTTATGGACGCTGTGAAGATTTATTCCAACGTGATAGAGTATTACAACTAGTTTTAAGCAATAAAGAATATTATAATATACATAATAATAATAAAATCGATATTATAGATATAGTATTCAACACAATATCAATAGAGAATCAAAATCAATTATTAGATATGAAATTATATTTTTTGCCTGATTATGTTAAGCAAAATGACCAAAACCAAATAGATAATATAATTAATAATAATAAAGATATCAATAGAATAATAAAACTATTAGAGTATATTAGAAAAAATATCAAAAAGGATGACGATGATGACGATGATGACGATGATGTCGAAAGTTTTCAATTCAATTATTTTTCAAATGAAGAATCAATAAAATTAGAAAATTTGAAACTAGTTTTACAAAACAACACAAATAATTGGAAAAAAATCAAAAATTGTTGTTCTAGGGTATCATTTAAAACAGATATAGAAACAATCAAATTTTATTTCAAAAATCAAAACCATTTAAATTTTATGGAATCTGACATTTGTGAAACAATAATCGATATGTTTAATAAGTACGTTTGCAAAATAGATAAAAAAAAGTTCTGCCAACTAATTGAATCAATACCACCATGTAAATATGAAATTTATTCATTATGGAAGGAAGTGGTTAAAAGAACAAAAACAACAATACCAACTGAAATAATTACAGACTCTATTGAATATAATGACAGTTCAAGTGACAATTATAGGGAAAATATAAAATCACCGGGAATAACAACAACATTACTTGTAGTCAAAGATAAACAAACAGTCGATTTAATTTCAGATATCTTGAGTTTGTATGAACAAACAAATGGTTTCGATCCCGAATTCTCTATATTAGATATCATGGGCTCTCATTATAATGATCTACCAGAAATAGATGAGAACACCTTCAAATTCAATAATGTTGAATTATTTAAATATACAGATAAAAAAATTTTTAAATTATTTAATTTAAATATTTTCAAAGAAACACCCATAAGAACCAAGAAAGCTAAGGAAACTAAACTCATTGACGATACTGTTTTGGAAATACCACTAAAAAATGCCATGGAAACATTTAATTTAAAAGAATTAAAATCAATATTCGAACTTACCAAAGATTATAGTTTATCTAGACTATACTATTCATACAAGAAACCAAATCGACCACTATCATATCAAGATATTACACAACTCACTGAAACCATCAAACATTTTATCAACATCAATTGTCCTCAAGGTGTTTATTATTGTTTAGATCTAATGCCAGAAGGTGATTATGAACACACTGAAAAAGATAACTATTTAACCAATTTATTTAATAGTTGTGAAGTATTAACCACCGTATTCGCAATTTCAATCAAACTATTATCAGTACACATCATCAAACTATTAATCAACAAATATCATTACAATGCAGATGTTGAAAACAAATTACCAAATTATATCAGTAGCTTTATAAATGTTGAAAACCTCAAAACTAATAGAAATCGTCCTATTCCTTTGTCTTTTTATTGTAACCATTATTGTGAAATTGATTTTCAAACACAAAGATATGATAATATTAATATTGATGATGTAATATCAATCATTCATTTAATAATTAATAGATCGAAACAACTACAAAATAAATCCCAAAATAGAAAACGACAACGATCAATATCAAATATCAATTATGAAAATTATATTTTTACTTCAACACCCAAAGTCCATATTTATCAAGGTGAGGCTCTTAAAATTGTTATCAACATATTATTCAAAATATTAATTCAAAGTAAAGGTGAAGTACCACTTGAAAAGATCAAATCAACTTATCAATTCATAAACAAATCTGGTGTAACTACAGTTCAACAATCAACATTATTTTCAATTTACTATCTTGCAAATAAATCATTAACACTCATCAAATATCTACTTGGTTTACCAATCTTTCGCGATGTTGGCGACCTTTTGGCCTATAACTGGGATGGTACTATTTACACTCAAGATAGTAATAATAGCTTTGAACCTCGTAAGAAAACAAAGGGTAATATAATTTTAAATTTAAACGACCTCATAGATCCAGAAGTATTTTCATTTGAATATATATTTGGTGATAATGGTTATATTTGTTGTGATAATGGTGCATCATGTATCGATATTATAGAAAAGCTTCATCAAAATATTTTTAACAACTCATTCACAACCTTCAAAGAATCACCTCCTTTCAAAACAATCACTGACATTTATATTCAAACTATAAAAACCTTGTTCTTCTTTCAAAGATATGATTTGTTTTTAAAATACTTAGAAGAATTGAGACTCAAACACAATGGCTATGATGAAAAAAGCAATGGTTTTATTAAAATTTCAAACATTATTCAAACTGGTGACCAAACTTTAATATCCACAGTATTAAATGAATACAGCGAATATTGCGTTCTTTCAACTTTAGGAATCTGCGATTTATTAATATATAATGTCGAAAATAACACCAATATTGGCCAATCTTTAATAAAAAACGAAATTATTATTAATGAAAAGGATTTTCATCCAGATACAGTATTTGCTCTTCACCATTTAATATTTGACGATAAAAGCAAATTTAAATTCTCATTTAACATCGAACCATACCAAATACCATTCAAACTATATCAATTCCTCCTCAACACCTATCCAAATAATACTCTATTAAAACCATCAAAAACAATAATTAATGATGCTATAAAAAGAGATAATATTATCTTCCTAAAACAACTCTATCAAAATAATCTTATCAATGATGACATCGATAACACCAACAATGAATATAATCAACTACTATCCCATTTAAAACAAAAACTATCAGAACATAGAAAATAAAAATTGAATAAATAAATTTTAATATAAAAAAACTTTAAATATTTCTTTTATTATTTTTTAAAAAACTATTTTTAATATATATTCGATGAATCTAAATGTTTTTTTTTATTTAATAAGCTTTAGGAAAAAAT